TGTGCATTTCCTTGTTGTGTTCCCCCTTCCTCTACCATGGCCTCCCCCTGAATCACGACCTCCTCCACAAGTACGACCACCCATAGGATTACCATGGCCCCCCTTAATTGTATAGCCACCTCCTCTTTGCCCATAAGAACCACCTCGAGTACTAACCAGTGTTGATCTTTCGGAAGTAATGTTACTCTCTGAGGGGCTAAAGGGGCTAAGAGATATCCTACAGAGACGAACAAACACTTCTTCGAGAGTCGGGAGAGTAGATCCTCTCAATATTCGTGCCTTGACCGATTCATACTCTGCTTTCGGTCCCACCAAGAACCGCGTAACATCAAGTTGTTCCCTTTGTTGCTGCTGAATTTTAACGTTCGAGGTTAAGGGATGATAGACATTAAGTTCATTCCAAAGATTTTTCATGCTAACATAATATTCTTCAAGAGTCTGATTTCCCTACTGCAAACTGAAGTATTCTTGATAAAGTTGATAAACCCTTGTAGTGTTGTCTTGTCCCGAATAGAGTTTCTTGGCATGTTCCCATATATCCCTCATTGTATCTAAAAACATGAAGTTAACACTTATTTTAGGCTCCATACTATTCCATAGCCATATCATGATCTAAGCATCCTCTTGCTCCCAATCACTAAAACCCGGGGATTCAGCACTCGGTTTTTCCTCTTGTACATGTTTCACTTTCTTCTTGACCTTCAGAAACACTTCCACCGACTTGGCCCATGGAACATAGTTTTCATCGTTGAGTTTGATGGATGTCATTTGGACACTTAAAAAATCAGAGGATATCATCACACTCGATTTCTGGTCAGCACGAATCACCCACCAACGCCATATCACTCTACGAAGCTGGTTCTGCCCATCACACTTAAAGTCACCACTAGCTTGCCCTAGCATGCATTCGGCCACTTTGAACACCACTGATTTGCACACAGGCTGATTTAAAAACACCCAGAATCCCTCTTGAAACTGCTTATTCGAGGGTCAGACCACAACCACTATACCTACTCGACCACCACAGTTGTCACGTATAGTGACAGCGGTCCACACACAGACAAAAAACATGGATTTCTTATTCACTTGAACTGCTGTAATTGCCTACTGTCACTAGAACCAGAAAACTGGGTTACTTCACAGTCCTCAAACCTAGATTTCTCACACCATAAAAAATTGCAGCAGAACCCCTACTGTTGTGAAACCTTAGGTATTGCTGCAGAAACCCTACTGTCATGAACCTCTAGATGTTGTCGCAAAGACTTGGGTTTCTTCTCTAACCCAGATTTCTCACGCCAAGAAAAAAAATAGGAAATAAAGAAGAAGAAGAAAGGAAGTTGCAGTCGACTTCTAATAATGGCACTCTGATACCATGTAAGTTTTCAACCGAACAGAGAAGAGAAGAGAAGAGAGAGAAAGAAGAATAAGAAGAAGAAAGAAGAGAAAGTGTCGAACTAGTTAGACTATTCGTCTAACCTAGTCGACCATATACTTAGAATTTGAAATATAAAATACAAAAGACTGAAATGCCCCTGCATATGAGGAGACATACAGCCAACACAATACATAAAGGAAAAAGACCAAAATGCCCTTCTCTAATTGACTCTAACACAAAGGATAGAAGGGAAATGAAACGTTTATGTGAAAGAGACAAGTGAGCAAAGGAGACATAATGAGAAAGGGGGTGATCTGTGCAACTACGCTTACCTTTACGAAGGGTAATAGGAAGATCAAGATCTGAGGATGGTGAATCTATCAATGGCAAAGACTCTAGTGGCATGTCAGAAGCTAGAGCCAGATCAACTATTGGCGACAATTCTGGTTGTCTATCACATCTAGAGTACACTCTATGAATAGATAGTCGAATAGGCTCCTCCATAGTAGGCAAGGGAATAAAGACATCACCAAATTCAAAGGGAAGAGGAATAGGAGAAGGTTCACATCCAAAGAAATAGGGTAAACTCTCAAAGAAGGTGACATCCGGAGCAACAAAAGCTTTCCGTAAAATAGGATCATAGCATTGTAACCTTTTTGAGTATGAGAGTAACCAAGAAAAACGCATCTAATAGCTCTGGAGTCAAGTTTACCATGGCCTAAACCCAATTTGTGACCAAAACACACACCAAACACACAAGGAGGAAGAGAGAAAGGCAAGGTGGAAGGAAACAAGATAGAGAAAGGTGACTTGCCATCTAGGACCGGAAAAGGCATATGGTTTATAAGAAAACAAGAGGTGAGAACTGCATCACTCCAATAGATTTTAGGAACTAACATTTGAATCAAGAAGGGCCGAGCAGTTTCAATCACAAGGCAATTTTTTCTCTCAGCCACACCATTTTGCTGAGGAGTGTGTAAACATGAGGGTTGATGTATAATATACCATGAGAGTCAAAATAAGACTGAAAATTATTATGAAAGTATTCCTTGGCAATATCTGAATGAAACACTTCAATGCATACACCAAATGGATTCCTTATCTTGGTATGAAAAGATAGAAAAATAGAGAACAGTTTTGACGATCCTTCATTAAGTAAATCCATGTCATTCTTGAATAGTCATCAATAAACGTTACAAAATATCTGAATCTATTATAAGATGACACACGACTAGCCCAAATGTCTGAGTGGACTGAAGCAAAAGGATTTAGGACTCTCTTATCATCCCTAGGAACAAACGACACTCTATGATGTTTACTCAACTGACATGACTCACAATCTAGCTGAGTTACAAACACCAAAGTTGGGACTAGCTTTTTCAAAACACGCAGAGAAGGACGATAATGCCACTGATGTGGTGTAAGAGAGGAATGAAGAGCCTTCTAAAGAGCATGGTCATCCAAGTAATACAGTCCTCCAACTTCACGACCACCACCAAACATCTTCCCCATCTTGAGATCTTGAAAGACACAATATGAAGGATAAAATGTTGTTGAACAATGACGGGTTTGAGTAAGCTTAATAACAGACAAGAGACTAAAGGGAAACTTAGGAACATAAAAAAACAAGCATAAACTAAGGTCAAAACCAAGAGACACATTACCGGTACTAGTAATAGCAAAAGAAGAACCATCAGCTATGTTAACGGTTTGAGAGGTAGAAAGTGGTCACAAGGATAAAAACATATTTGAGAAGCCAGTCATGTGGTCTGAAGCTCTAGAATCAATTACCCAAGGTGAAGGTGAATAACTAGAAGCAAGACAAGCAGTATCTGACTTCACAAGTGTAGCAGTGGCAGAACTAGAAGAGGTAGACTGGCGAAGCTTTTCATACTCCTCACGTGAGATAGAGATTGTGTCCTTATCCTTACCAACATTGGAAGTAGGAGCATCTCCGATCACACTAAGACTCCCAAAATCACCTTCCACCATTGCTTGGTTAGCCCAGAAAGTTAGAGGGCCATGAAGATCATAACAAAAGTCGACTATGCGACCTTCTCGTCCACAATGTGAGCACTCACGGGCTGAACTACGGCCACTACCACTACGACCACCACCACCCCTTGCACCACCAAACTCTCTACCACCTCGTGCACCTCTGGGCCTATGGCCAAAACCCCTCACATTTCCTCCACTTCTACCACACATATGTCTACTAGTAAAACCTCCTCTGGAAACCACCATGGCTGATCTCTCTGAAGGTGGGGGATGATCACTATGTGGATTTGAGGCTCTCCTTGTGTGAGAGAAAACCTCAGACAAGGAGGGAAGATCACTACTCCCTAAGATTTGGGCCCGCACTGGTTCAAATTCAGACCTCAACCCAGATAAAAATCTTGCTACGTCTAGATTCCCGTTGTTCTTGTTGAGTCTTCAAATCAATGGATAGGAGTTAACTTTTTAGAAAAGCATAGTATTCTTCAACACTTTTATCCCTTTGTTGAAGAGAAAAATAGTCTTGGTACAACTGGTAAATTCTTGTGACATTGTCTTGTCCAGAGTACAATTGTTTGGCATGGTCCCAAATCTCCTTGGCCGTGTCTAGAAACATAAGGTTTACACTAATGTGTTTCTCCATACTATTCCAAAGTGATGTCATAATTTGGGAATTCTCTTGTACCCATTCATTGTACCATTTGATGAAGCCATGGGTGAGAGGAGATCACTGATTTGTCACCTACGCAACTGTCAAACAACTGGTATGCAACTACAGCAACACACTTTTTTCTTTAGGAGAAACAACGAGAATCATCATCCCTCTACTTTAGAAACACTTGGAAAAGATTGCGTACTTACTACAAGGTGTCACCACAACACAAATCACTACAAAATCACCACACATTGAGGAGCACCTACCTCATAACTCGAAACATCACAAAGCTGCCCTCTTCAAACTGTCAAATAGAGGGCTTTTAGAAAAACACCACCAACTCAAATGACACTGCAACTTGAGGCATTAAAGCCTCTTTCCCAAGTGGGCGACCAGTCCTCTTAAGTCCTTTTCCTTTCCAACGAAGAATAGAGAATATTCTTTATTCCTAGGGCACAAAAAGTTGAGACGTGAACAGTGTCGCGAACAGTATAGTCGACCTCAAGGCTCTGATATCATGATCCAACTTTAATAAAGTAAGAAAAGATGAAGAAAAGGATAGAAGAAAGAAAGAGAAGAAGATAGGAAGAGAAAGGGAAGGGAAAGAGAAGAAAAGAGGGAAGACTAGAAAGGAGAAATCTGTTCAGTTTTCCTTACTGTCGACCTAAGTTGTATTAGCATTCTACTAAGGCTAAAATGACTACAATACCCTTAGGAAAGTTACAGCAGATATAAGAGAGAAAGAATAACATGAAAAAGACAATACTGCCCCTATTAACTACTTCTAACAGTTCTAACACCCACCATGCCTTTAATCTTTCCTTAAAGAAAGAAATATTTGTAATCAACTCAAAAAGAAAGAGTGATGAATATAATATTATAAACTGAAGAAAGTATTATCAAAAGTATTTTATGGTCAGCAAGAGTAATCAATACATTATTCAGTAATATCAAGAAAAGATAATAAGAGAGTACCTTGTAGATTTGCACTCTGAAGACCAGCACCAGCTAATAAAGCACCACGAAGATTTGCAGCAGTAAATTCACATCTTCCCTAGGAAAGACAAAGCATTAAGATAATCCATGCAATATGAACTTAAAAGACACGGCAATGCTAGATGTAAAGGTTATATATTAAAAGCAACATATTTTTGTCAGTGAAACAACACATAAATCCTGTAAGAACCATGGATTTTCAATCAATGCTGACCATGGTGAAGCATTCATATCAAAAATCCAAATATAAAGATAGTATTCTTCTATAATATAGCAATAACCAAAAGTCCAGAAATATCCTTTTCTATGATGGTCGCTGAAATGAGAAACTAAACCTAAGACATCTAAGAATTATAAAAACTCTATTAAGCATCTTACTCGCGCAGAATTGCATTGTGAAAATTGGCACCCTCAGCCTCCACATCCTGCAATATGAAACCAGAGGTTCCAACATAGTTCATTGATGTGAGACACATAAAAAGAACACCTATACATAATGGACTAGGTGTGAATACTCTTTACCAATGTTTTAAGATTCAGACCGGACACAAAACCAGAATGCTTGTCGGGTCATGGATCAAACAGTTTGAATGCAAGTTGCAAAAAATACATAATAGATATTTTCATCTATAAACTAAATGTTAGTGACGGCTAGATGGTTAAGGCATTGAATTTTGGCATAAATGACCAGGGTTCAAGTCTCATTACTTGTATTTTATTAAAAGTATATGCATATTTAATCAATATAGATATTAAAGATACATGAATAAGCACAAAATATGTTTGGTCATGCATATCTTCACTCTTTGGCTGCAGGTGGGACCCTCCACAGGACTTTACGACTCTATTCAGCCCAACCATTTTCAGGCAGGAGAAAAAAGAGAGGAAGATTGCTATGGGAAACAGCAAGGGCAACAACAATTTGGACACTATGGGACGAAAGAAATGGCAGACTCTTCAAAGTAAAGGCATGGAGCATAGATAACCTTATTGAAAGCATAAAGATCAAAACAGCAAACTGGGTAAAAATTTTGGAAGCATTCATACTGGTGGCAGTAGATTATGTTCTTAGAGACTGGTATGGAGTAGCAAATCCAGCCACTGTGAAAGACAAAGTAGTCTTGGACTGGAAGCCTCCTCAGCCTAAAAGACTAAAGTTAAATTTTGAGGGAAGCTCTTTAGGAAATCCTGAGCTTTAAGGAATAGGAGTGTTCAGGGATGATGGAGGGAAAGTAATTGTCACACAAGAAGTTCGTACAAGAGAACACAGAAGTCAGGTGAAAACTAAATCAATTGAACCCACCCCAAGGCGAGGCTATGCAGCAGGGGGGCGCCTAACCGCCGAGGTGATGGATTATTTAAGTAAAAGCCACATATCCTACGGTAGTTCCCTAGGTTCCATAACCATCATTCCTTAATAACTAATCCCATAATTTTCATCAGAAAATTACAAACCTAATGTTTAAGTCTAGAAAATCAACATATTTATGAGAAAAAAAGAAGGAAAAGAAAATTCAAAAAAATAGAGGCTGAACCCCTATTTTTGTTATAGGAAAAGAAGAAAAGCATAAGTGAAAGAAGAAGAAGAAAATAATTGAAAGAAGAAGATGTGGAAGAAGAAATGTGTTGATAAGACAAAATTTTAAGTTCTTCCCTTACTTATTGGTTCAGATTTTGAAGTCTTTGAGGGTTCAATAAAGTAGTTAGCAATGTTTGTGTTGATTAAACCCTAACAAATAAGAAAATAATAAAAAGAAATTAGTTTATAAACACAAAAAATAAATATATTTGTTTAATAATGTCTGTTTTATAATTATAATCTCAAAAAAATAACAATATAAAAATATTTTATAAGACAATATACAAAACAGCTTGGCGATTGGGTGAGGCGAGCCTCCAAGGGCGCCTTGTCACCTAGGTGCCCACCTAGGCATCACCTCGACAACTACGATATATATGAAATATGAGTGTTTATAGAAAAGCCCTTACAGGGCTAAAAAAGAAAATAAGAGATGGATAATACAACAAGGACTAAAGCAATATGATACATCATTGGGACCCTTCAAACTCCCCCTCAAACTGATGCGAAGGCATTAGCACCAGTTTGCTCACAAGGAATAAATGTTTGGATCTCGTCATGGCCTTTGTGAAGATGCCAGCAACTTGCATATCAGAGGCAACATGAGGGAGAGAAATAGAGCTAGCAAGGAATGAGTCTTAGATAAAGTGGCAATCCACCTCAATGTGCTTCGTTCTTTCATGAATTACAGTGTTAGAATCAATCTTTATAGCACTAGTGTTGTTTACATATAGAGGGATGAGAGTAGAGGAGTGACTCAGTTCCCTAAATAGATATTGAAGCCAAACAACTTCACTGCATACAAATGACATTGTCCTATACTCTGCCTTCGTAGATGACTTGGACACAATTTGTTATTTCTTGCATTTCCATGAGATAGAGAATCACCCATGAAGACACACCACCCAATAGTATAACAGTGTGTGTCGGGGAAGCCTACCCAATCTAGATCAGCATAGGCCCTCAATTGGATAGAATAGGATAAAGAGAAGAATAGTCTCTGAAAAGGTGCCCCAAACATAGCGAATAATCCGATGTACAGTAGTCAAATGAGGTTAACGAGAAGTAGAGGCAAACTGACTTACAACCTAAACTGCATCTGAAATGTTAGGATGAGTCATAATGAGATAGATGAGACCCCACAAGTTGTCGATGGATGGAGGCATCAATAAGTAAAGAACCTTCTAACTTGGGACAATTTAACAATCAGCTCTAAGGGAGTATCAACCTATTTATCATCAGTAAGGTATGGCCAACTTGACAAGATCATAGGCATATTTGTGTTGGCAAATTAAATATCCCCAGTGACTCCTTTGGACTTCAAGTCCTAAGAAATAGGTAAGAAGACCCAAATCCTTCATGTAAAAGTAACTGTGAAGAAGAGTTTTGAGGCCCTGAATTTCCTCTATATCATTTCTAGAAGAAAATTGTAATCCAAGGGGCCTTTTCCGAACAAAGAGAGAGTAATCAAAAGCACTCCGAGTATAAGTAGCATTCACAACATCCCTTAATATTTCAAACCATGCCCGAGGAGCTTGCTTCAACCCACAGAGAGATTTCTTCAAGAAACAGACAAGGGAAGGATCACTACAATAACCCAAAGGGTGTTTCATATATATTGTCACCTTTAAATGCCCATGTAGAAAAACATTTTTCACATCCAATTGAAAAATGGTCCAAGAGTGTGCTACAAAGAGGACTAAAAGAACACAAACTATAGTCATCTTGGCCACTGAAGCAAATGTCTCCTCATAATTAATGCCATACTCCAGTCTAGAGAGCCATCATATTTCAACTTGATGGAATAGATCCACTTGCTTCCAATAATAGAGCCATCTGAAGGAGCTAGAATGAGGTCCCAAGTGGCGTTCTCATGCAAAGATTTAACATCTGTAGCCATGGCATCTCTTCACTGTGAAGGGATGAGAGATCCATCCTATGAACGCCCAAAAGATTGCGGAATAAGGGGCGAATTTCAAAATTTTTCTCTCCCTTCAACTGGGAATCGTATTCCCCATTTAGAAAATCATATTTTCAAAGATCAATTCTGAACCATAAACTGAACCAGATCTGAACCAAAAAGGAGTGGGAAGGATTATACCTGATACGGAGAAATAATATCTCCCAACGAAGGTGTTCACGCCCAAGGAAGGATCCAAAGACTACTCCCACTGAAGATGG